CACAAATGAAACAAGGCTAAACTATAAATTAACAAACAAAAGCCATGGTCTGGGGCATCCAGGAGCTGATTTAAATTATACTATCTTCACTGAAAGCACAACCTTTTTTTTTTTTTTTTTGTAAGTAACTATGGTAACAGTAGTGTGAAGCTAGCAGGAAGCTTGCATTTTTCTCACAGGAGACAATTCACAAAAGAGTCCCAGTAAAGAAGCAATGTAAGAGAGTTTTTCCCAGACTTGAATTGTCGTTAAAATGGTTATAAAAGTTGAGAAAGAAAATTGAGAGAAGAGGGCTGTATTTTAAACAATAGTTTAGATGGAGCCGACTTTTTTTTTTCAACCAACCAAAATTAACCCTTTGTAGTTTGGATGCAAAATTCTGTCGGTCTTTGAGCTTCCCAAAGATTAACCAAGTATTGTAGTACACTGTAAAAAATCATATATAGCACCCAAAAGTAATACTAAAAAGAAATAATCAGATTGCCTGAACCACATTATTAAAACATTTTTGCTGCTAAAATTAAACATCTGGAAACTATTTTCTTTTCTGCCAGATGAATGAATCCTGAATGATATTTAAATCACAGTCATGCATGCTTCAAGGTTAAAAAGTACTCATCTAAATCCTTTAGTATTGTCAAAATCTACATTAGTAATTAATTTATATGAGGACAATATAATTAACCAGTTTCGAACTGCTTCACTGATATTTAAATATATGTTGTTTTAATTCTAAGAGGAATACGTAATTGAAAATCACAGACTAACATTCAGAAAAAAAGTTACATAACATCCAGTAGTGTTCCTAAATCAGACTGACTGGGATATTACAGTGAGTATGGAAAAGGCATAGCACATAGAAGCAGCACTCTGTACCCTGAAAGGTCACATTAGATATTCATATATAAGAGCCTATTAACTTGGATAATTCAGCTGCTCAGGGTACAGGGTAGAAGGGGTAGAGAGGTAAATGATTCTGTGTTACAGATAATAAGCATGCTTTTCAAACTCAGGAAAATCTATGTCCCTATTATTTGACATCTGTTTTAAGTACTCACTTGTTAAAAACTGCTTTGAATGTTTTATTTTCTTTTTACCCTAGTGGTGATAAAAATTATTTCAGTATGTTCGGTCCAATATACACTCACTAACAGATCCTCATGACAGCGTATGATGATAGTATATAGAAATGTGAAAGCAATACATAGTTTCTATAAAAAGCTTAAATTGTCCCCTTTCTCCCACAACTTTAGTTTTGGAGCCCAATACAGTGCATACTGATGCCCCATTTGCTAAAAAGTACTTAGAAGTATGCTTCGGTGATTGAAAGAAATATTGCAAAACTGAGAGGGGGTTCTAAAAATTGTACGCAAGCAAGAAAGAATGTAAGGAAAAACTCGTTAAGGTTCCAAATAAATAAATAAATAAATAAGTACATCGATTTCAATAATTTATCATTTTCTGTCATTTTTCATTAACAGCTTTCAAAGCCCTATCTGAAACAAGCTGATACAGAGAAATTAAGAGCAGTAATCAAGCGAGAAATGATAGACCAGCTGGGTCGACATCAACTTGGCAAAACGTGAATACAGTTCAATAGCTGAAACAGATGCTAGAGTTGTTGCAAAACCCTGCAGGAGCTATTGATATATTTTCTTCATATAATGCAGAATGACTGAATAAATGTCAAAAGCTCGAAACTGATGATGACTGACAACCAAACTCCTTATAAAATAGAAACCAAGTATAACAATTGCCAACCTATCCTAACATCGTATACATACTCGTTTTTCTCAATGTCTGAGTATGCCAATATATCAATCAGTCCCTGCAAGCGAGTAAATTGTTTATAATTTAGCTGGGGCACATTTCCCTTAGATTTTCCCGTCTCAAATCTTCCTGGAGAAACCTAGACTCTTTAAGATTACTTTATGCTAAAATCTTTTAACGCTGATTTCTATCCCAGAAGTGTTTCCCTGAGGTTAGAGGCAAGCACCCCCCCACAGAAAAAAATATCTAACACAGCACAAGGTAATTTTAAAATCTATTCTTGTAAAAGCAACACTGTTTGCAGAGTTTGAAGAGCTCGGCAACAAACCCCAGCTACCAACAGCTGCTTGTTCAAACATATGCTTTGTCATGGTCAGCTTCTAATTGTATTCATAATGATGTAATAGCTTTAATAATCCTACCTTCCATGCCAGCTGTTTTTCCTGTCACTCCATCATGCCAATAAGTTGGCTGCTGTAACAAATCAAGATAGTGCAAAACAGCATCTTTCTCCTGATTCTGTCATCTTCCTGAAAGCATTCTATTACTGCCGACTGCTGGGAACCAGAAAGTCTATTTAAATTCCAACAGCTCCCCTTTCGCATGATTCAAGTTAGGTTAGGTGGGCATGCCTAACATGATTCTCTCAGTCATTTATTATGCAGCTGCTACAACGTCGGTGTGGTAACCACTCTGACTATCTGATACGTCAGTCGAACAAAACCTGCACCTCGGAGCAAACACATGAACCACGGCAGCGTTCTGCATTTAACGAGCATTCTTTCTGCCTAAAAAACAGTGGATCTGCAAATCTCCTTCGGTATCTACTCGCTCCTCTCTACAAATGCAAAGGTGTTGGATTAGATTCTTTTTCTAACTATATCAGGTGCAGAGTTCCTTGCCACATAGCATCTTATTCACACTAAGACTCTGGATGATTTTTAACTTATTTCTCTAGCCCGTTTAGGCTAAAAACTCTCTCTTCGTTGTACTTTTGAAATCAGAAGGCTGAGTGCTCAGCTCCAATATCTCCGTTTTTGCTTTATTATAAATTATAGCATGTATTTTGTCAAATGAAATGTGTCCCTTGTGAGTCTATGAGGAATTTTCAAATGAGAGGATTTTTCAGGAATGTATTTTCTGTGTTTCACAATTGAGGCATTTAAAGTCTATTTACTCTGCGTGTTTTTCTCAAGGGTGGACTTAATACTTGATATTTGACTTGAAAAATGTGCTCTTTTCATAAAGTAAGGAATTAGATTAGTTGATTCTCTTACACAACTCTTCTACCAAGTAAATAAGTGCCACTTCAAGAAAACAAACATTGTATTTAAAAATACTACTAATAAATTGATGTGTTTAAAAATGTAACTGCCATCAATCTATACACTATTAAAATCACCCCAAAATGTAGTCTACCTTTCTCATGGGAGATTAGTATGTACAGTCAAAAATGAAATCAAAGTATTATAACTTTACTATCATAAAGTTTAAGGGTTTCCACAAGCAAAGAATGCTTAAAAGGGAGAACTTATTAAATCTTCCATTTCCTGTGAAACTTCTATTGGATATTCAGTTGGGCAAGGGCGCTATTTTCCTGAAGCACAAAAAGTAAAGGAGGTGGTTAAGTAGATGTATTATGAGACTAAAAAATAGTTCATTTAACATATTTGAGATGCACAATAGGATTATTCTGAAATAGTTTCTCAAAGAGCTGTGTGTACACACACATGCACACATTTCATCTATTGTACCACCATTTTAACCTTTATGTAACAAACCCAGTCCTTACACAGTAAAACAGAATATATACATTAGTAACTTACAGTTCATTATGCTTAGTTGATAAGTGCTACAAATGAGAGACAAATAGAGTCCATTTGTACACACCAAAATTTCTCATTATGTGGCATTTTTGTAGGATGATTATTAAAACAGTATCATTCAGTTTGAAATCAGGAAGCATGATTTCCCCAACTTTGTTTTTCTTTTTCAAAATTGCTTCAGTGATTTGTATTTTTAAGGTCCCAATAGCTCTTTGCAATTGCTTTTCCTTGTCCATAATAGATATCATTGGCATTGTATATCTATATTTATTTTGACTTCGAATCTCTAGTCATTTTCATGACATTAAATCTTTTAATGCATGCACACAAAACAGCTGTGTATTTGTTTACATCTTCAATTTATTGAATTGGCCTTTTATAGTTTCACTGTATAGATATTTGACCTCCTTGGCTGTACCAATATATGTGTACTATTTGATTTATTTTTTTACTATTATAAATAAGACCTTTTCATTTCCTTTTCTTATAGTTTAGTGTGTATATAAAGAAATGGTATTCATTTCTGTGTGCTGATTTTGTTTCTTACAACTGTACTCAGTTTATTAGGTCTAACAATTTTTATGAAATCTTCAGGGTTTTCTATACATAGCATCAAGTTGATTGCAAACAGGAAACCTTATTTTGTTAATTTTAGGGTGTGGGAGATAGCTCAGTTGCGTAAGTGCCTGCCTCACAAGCATAAGGTCCTGTGTTCAATCACTGATACTCCCAAAATAGAAAAAAATAATTTTATTGGAATTCTTTAATGAGAATAAGAAATGATTTAAAAAACATTACAAATGATACCGAATTTCACTAAACAAGATGATAGGAATTCAACAATGGTTGTTATATTACACATTGGTGTTTTCAAATTAGTTGTTCATATTTTATGCATGCAGCATTGGTCAAATATTAAAAATAAAAAAAGAGCATTAACTGTTCTTCTCAACAACCAATAGAAATTAGTAGTACAATTACCCTATGTGTCCTTATATAAACATGTACATTTTTCCCTTCCTTTTTCTCCTTTGTCTCATCCCAATTATTCCTTCCCTTTGAGAAGTTTATTTCATTTTCATCAAATCTATTATACCTTTCAGATTTTATTTACTCGTTCAAGTTCTTACACTACGGAAACAATAAGATGTTTACACATGTGGCTTTGATTCATTTCACTTATAAGTTTGGTTTCTAGTTGCATCCATTTACCCATTAAAGCCTGGAGTTTATCTTTTTTATATTTGAGTAATACTTCATTGTATAAAAAATTACATGATGTTTATTCATTCCTCAGTTGATAGACATTTGGGTTGCTTCCAAGATCTGGCAGACAAATTGAGCTACTATAAATATGGGTGCACATACAGTGCTGTGGTATGATGTTTTCAGTTCTTTTTTTAACATGAGAAAGCACAAATACAGTCCCCCACTACCACATATTATGTAATCAAGGTTCTCACATGTGGGGAAATCACAGGGGTCTTCACATCTGGAGTGAGATGATTAAGTCTCACCCTGGAAAACTACCTTCATGACTATTCATAACTCCCCTGCCAGCCATGTTTTCAGTTCCTGAATAATGATCATATTCACCATAGGAAATTTGTACATGTACATATTTACTTATTATTTTCCACATCCCCTCCCTTCATCTCTTCTTACCCTGCTATTTACAAAGGATTTGTTTCCAGTTTTTCCTCCATTCTCTTTTTTCTTCCCCCTCCCCAGTCCCTTATTCTCTTTTTAATACATATTTAGAAGTAGGGATATTAATTTAATTCTTATATCCATTCTAAATGTCTTTTATTTTCTACTTCATTCTCTTGCCTAATTGCTCAGAATAGGATTTTTCAGTGTTATGTTAACTGAAAATGATAAGCAAAACTTTGGGCTTTCCATAATGATCTCTATTATATGTATGTGAATATAAGCTCCCCCTTTTGTGTTGAAAATATTGTTTATCACAAAGAAATGTTGAAATGTAGCAAATGATTTTTCTTAATTTATTATGATAATGTGATTTTTATCTGTCATTTATTAATGTGGCATGTATCATTGAATGATTTACATATAGTGTGACAGTTTTGCATCCCAGACATAAATCCTATTTAGGCAAAATATATGTTCTTCTCAATGTCCTGTTTCATTCAGCTTGCTAACATTTTACTGAGAATTTTTCCATGTACACTTCACAAAGACACTAGCTTGTGCTTTTCTTGCAGTACCTTTGTCTTGCTTTGGCCACATGATGATTCCAGTCTCATTAAATGAGTTTGAAAGTGTTCCTTCTACTTCTTGGAAGAATTTATAAAGATTCGCAGCAATTCTTTGAATGTTTGATGGAATTCACTTGTCATACATTTTACTTCTGGGCTTTTATTTGTTGAGAGGTTTTTGAGTACAGCTTCAACTTCTTTCTTATTGTTTAGCTTAGATTTGTCATTTTCATTTGCTTTTTTTTTTAGCTTTTTATTTTTGGTGCTAAGGACCAATCCCGGGGCTTACAGCTTTCTAGACAAGAGTTCTACCACTTAGCAAAATCCCTAGTCCCTTCTTTTTACTTTTTCACTGGCAAGATACAGGTATCTAGGAACTTATCCATTTCCCAGTTAGCCATTTTGGGGGAATATCATGTAGTTTTTCATAATAATTCTTTGTGGTGTATTTTTAATTCCTGAGGCTTTTTTTAAACTTCCCTTTCAGTTCTGGTTTTAATTTTGGGGGGATAAAAATTGTTTATTAAAGATTTAGCTATAGAGTGTGCCTAAGGAGAGTCACATGGAGAGAAAACATTCTCTCAGGCTTTCACAGAGAGCAAATTGGTCAAGCAATGGCCGTAACTCATCCACATGGCTGACACTGAAAAAGGATCTACAAACTGCAGTACATGGTTTCAGGGTAAACTCTGAGGGGATTTGACTGACCATGTCAGATACAGAAGTTACATTTCTTGTTATAAAGGTCTTGCTTTATTTTGGTCTTAACCATCCAGGAGAAAAGTTAAAAAATGAAGTATAAAACGTAAAGCCATAGTAATATGCTGAGCTATAAAATGCTCAAGTAAACAACTTCTGACTTTGCCAGTCCTATGGATAACCCACTACTATGGACTACTGGACTATATTGGATTATTTTGCTGAATTAATGTACCTAGAATATTTAAATGGCAACGGAATAACCTTCTCTGACAAAACTAAACAAAAAGGGATATAAATGAAGAATCATTTTGTATCTGTATATACCAAATAGTTAAGATAGATATATAGCAACTTTCTCTTAATACAATGAGAAGAAAGATTTGTACTACTAGTGTTTGGACAAGATATCATGTCTGCATCTTGTACTATGAATAACTACTACGAAGACAACAAAATGCAATGTATTAATTATTGTAACTGTCCTAACTAACCTGTTTTGAAACTGTCTCATTACTATTTGTCAATAAAATTAAAAAATAAAATAAAATTATAGCTACAAAATACAAATATATAAGGACTAATGTACAACTTTATAAAATGAAGGAACTAAAACAGAATGCTCTCAATTATTAACCTTTATTTCGCAATATCCAGTAATTGTTGTTCTTGAAAAAGTATTAAAACCAGAGATGAAGTTATCTATTTTCTACTTTGTTGTGATTATATATAACTCTCATAGTGAAAAAATGTAAGTAATGTATAAAAATAAGAGTGATTTGACAAACAATAACAGTGACATGGGGCAGGGTTATAATATTGCTCATAGGAAGATATCAAATACTACATCAATTATAACTCATGGTTATAAACAGGAAAGTCATGCCATTTGAACTAATGGTTCTATGACTGTGTCACCCAGAATGTACCTGATGTTGTCTGAACTAATATAATTTGTGTTTATTACTAAAAATAGAATTATTTTGGATGAAATTGATAAAGCTTATCTCTAACACTTCAGTGTTTCCATTCTGGTTTTATTTATTTTGGTCTGAACTCTTTCTTTCTTTAGTTCATCTAAGGGTTTGTTGATGTAGTTTATATTTTTAAAAGTAAAGTGTCAGTTTTGATTTCCTTCAGTTTCCTTTCTATTCTCTATTTGATTTCTTTGATCCACAGAAATATTCTGTATTGCTGCCCTAGTCCTTATTATTTCTTTTCTTCGAGTAACTTAAGACTTTTGTTTTAAAAATTGTTTTCTGGTTTTTTTTAAGTATAAAGTTATGTTGTTGATTTGAGATTTTTTTTTAACTCTAGGTGCTTCTATTTATAGACATCCTTCTTTGCACTACTTTTTCTAAATCCTGTAAGTTTGTTTTGTTATGCCTTGATTTTTGTTTGTGTCATTTAGAAATTCTCTATTAATATAATCATTTACTCAATAGTCGTCAGAGAATGTGTTGTTTAGTCTCCATATATTGTTAGTTTTCATGTTATATTGCTCTTATAAATTTCTAGTTTCATTATATTGTGGCCAGAAAAGATCTTCTGTATGATTTTTGCTTTAGTGAGATTTATTCTCTAATCTAATATACTGTTTTGAAGAATGTTCTATGTATGCTTGAGCAGAATAGCATGTGATCTCCTACTGTTGAATGTAATGTTCTATATGTCTATAGGGACTATTTTACAGTTTTGCTCAAGTCTGCTCTTTGACCCAGTTATTTCCCCTCTATGTATCTTCACAAAAGAGTTAAAGATGTTAAAAATACATGCATACTCATGCTTATACAAGCATAACTGAAATACGGAAATCTTAGATACAGATTATATGCTCACCATATGAATACATAAAGGAAATATATTTAAACACAATGGAGTACTACTCTGCCATAAAAGAATTTAGACCTGAGTCATTTGTAGGAAGCATATGCACCTTGAAACCATATGCTTCATTGAAATAAATCAGTCACACAAGCTTAAATACAGCATGGATTCTCTTCTATGAGAAACAAAAATGATAAACAAAGAGCATAAAAGGATAGGTACAAGAAAATAGGGAAACAGAACTTTCTCCAATTGGAAGAGAACCAAGAGAAGAAGGAAGGGAGGAGGGAGGGAAGGAAAGGGGATGAAAAAAAGGAATTGATGTATATTGTACTCATACCACCTCCATACAAGAAATGTAAACATTATGGACTACAAACATGTACTTGTCAATATAATTTTTAAAAGAAATTTGCTTGGATATTTTTCTATTACTGAAGCTGGGGCAGTTTTATATCTATTAATATTTGCTTTATATACTTAGGTGCTCTGATACTAATTGCACAAATGTTAATTTTATCTTACTATTCATTTGATCCCTTTTTCATTATACTGTGACTAAATCTGCATTTAGAATAGTTGAGTAATTATGGATTCGGTGTGGTGTAAGTATGGATACTTTTGCTTTCTTTGGATAAATATTTGTATAAGCTATCTATTTACATCCCTTCACTTTCAGCCTTGAATCTAAAGTAACATTCTTAGACATAATGTACTTTTAAAAATCCACTTACAGGGCTAGGGAGAGATAGCTCAGTGGCATAAGCGCCTGCTTGGCAATTGCAAGGTCCCAAGTTTGAACCCCGGTACTGCAAAAAAAAAAAAAAAAGTAAAAACTAAAATAAAGAGAGGGTCTCAAGTTTCCTGGTGTGGTGGCACATGCCTGTAATCCCAGCACTCGGGAACCTGAGACAGGAAGATCTTTGAGGCCAGGGAGATGGCTCAGTAGAATAAGCTCTTCCCTGGCAAGCACAAGGGCCTGAGTTCAATTCCCCGTTCCAACAAAAAATAAATAAAATAAAAATCCACTTAGTCATATTTCATATATTTATTGAAATTCAATTCATCAATTGTAATTAATAGAAAAGTCTATCATTGCCATTTTGTTAATTGTTTGGTTTGTCTTTTAGTACTTTTATCTCTAGCTTTCTATCTTCTTCACTCTCTCTTTTTTTTTTTGGCCAGCTCAGCCCACCCTGAGGGTGGGGCTGGCTTGGCATGTGGTGCCAGGTATCAAACAGAGGTGCCCTGTGTCTCTGTAAGCTTGCCTAAGCAGGTGCTTCAGACCTCTGAGCTATCTTATTGGCCCCAGGATTCCAAACTTGCTATCTTCCTATATACTGTGTTGTTTTGTATTGATAGGCTTTATGTTTTCTTTGGTGTGATATTTTAGGTATGTTCTTTTTGCATTTTACATTAGCCCTCTTATAAACATGCATTTTGAGCTCATCATTTAGACCTATAGACCTTTGTCTATCCTTAACACATTCTATGCTACTCATGTTTTATGTGACTGATATCACAATGTACATCTATTATTCTCTGTATCCACTAATGTAATTCAGTAGTTTTGTATTATAATGAAACGTAATTTGTTCATCACTGTTATAATAATACAGTATTCTCTTTGTGTTTCTGTATTTACCTTTTCCAATGACTGTCATAAACTATATTGCTGCCGTTCGATATTCCCTAATTTGAAGAACTCATTTTAGTATTTTTTGTCATACACTGTCTAATGATACCAAACACAATGATTTCTTTTTGTAAGAAAGTTTTTAACCTCCCTCATTTGAAAGAACATGCATACTGGGAAAAATATT